TGATGACCACGATTCGAGCACAATTTATGCACTGCTCATAATCTCATATCAAGGCACTACTCACACAACTCACTTTCTTGCTTCGTCGTTTACATACATGAGTAAACACTGATGGTTAGACATTTGATGAATAAAATCAATTAGATAAGATAATGTACATTCAGAAATAATAATATGAGTGTTATCAATCAAATACAATCAGATGGGAAACAAGATGGCTTTATAGTAAAATAAATAAGTAACTTGTTAGAATGTTATAATGTGAATTGAGTACATTTTGCCACTACTTATTATCCTCTGATTTGACTCCTTGGAATAATATCTTCTATTTCCCTGGTATTTGCGTTGAGTCACTTCTATTGCGCATGTGTTGTGTTAGGTGTAGACTCAATGAACAAGGATTCAGCAATCAATGTCTATCTCCACCTACCTATACTACCTGCTGGAATTTTGCCTCTGTCGCACCCTATTGTGTGATTGTGTGTTAATGTACGCATGTAGTGTTGAGTTATTTTCTAAATTACTTATCTTCTCGGGGCCAAACATTCTTACCTTAGCTAAATTCTTATGTTCTGACAGAATATCTAACTACTCCTGATCTACTAGTTATATATATGTGGTTGACCACAACTGAAGTTCATTGCAAGACATTTTGTAAATTATATTATTCTGTCTAATTGGATCAACCGAAAGGGTCATTTAACCTACAGAGCTTGTCTCTGTCTGAGTGGGTGAGTTTGTAGGTTCAGATTCCACTACCCTAATTCCTACGTGGGGGGAGGGTTTCAAATGTCACCTCCTTATCATAGTAAAAATGTAGATGCCTTAGCTTTTCTCTTATTTATGTTATCACTACTGTATGACTTATTCAAAATAAAATATTGTCCTTAATGGCGCCAAAATTATTATTTTTTAAAAAAAAAGCACTTACTAGATTCCAAGCATCCATATGTTCTTTGCGTAATTCACTCTCGGGATAACGTAGCGCAAATGTTAATTCCGTGAAAACTAATCCCTCTAAACGTGATCTTTCTTTAGCAAGTGGACCAAGATCTGATTTGAATTGAACTAAATCATGTTCAGTTACAGAGATCGGTTGACTGGATATCTGTATACCAGTAATAAATGTGTATGACTGTGTCCTATTATAATATTGGAAAAAAAGAAAGAAGGGAAACTTATCAACAAACAAACAAAAAGTGAAGTCGACAGTTTGAAGCCTCGATTAATACTGTGGTGGTGACAGCTGTCTGCTAGACAACAATTTACGTCAATGTTTACGTCCCGATTCGGGGTCATGAGAAAAAAAAACAATAACAAAGCTTAACCTTGAGGAACTCACCAACCAATCACAGCAAACTTAACGTGTGCAAATACGATTCGCAGATATATGGCTTAACTTTCTAAGAAACGGTCACAAAGAGATAACAAAATAACCTCCAGCAAGAAAACAACCAATCAGAAGACGTTGCTTCTCCGCTAACAATATTGCTAATAATAATTTACATAAAAATCTATAAATATCTTCTATAGTTTGGTTTGTAAGGGTTAGTTTTGTTTTTTACAAGTTGATCACGTATTGATATCAGTTAGAGAACCATTGAAAACCAGCACTGGAGTACTGCCAGATAGCCGTTTCATCCTAGTTTGGGAATCATCAGCAGTACGCACCCACTGCCAGGGGTTGAACTCAGGACCTTCCGGTTCCAAGCAAGCAAGCTCGTATGCCATTCAACCACTGAGACCCGATTCAATGGCCACTGCATGAATTATAACTTCTACCAATTCGTGATTTAGCGCGACTGGCACCAACCAATGTCATCGGTGGGACATCCATCCTCACACGTGACACTGGTCACGACTTCTCACTAGAACTCCACGAAACTCCATCCTGTAGCAAGTCACTAGCGAGCATCAGATTAATTTTCTATAGTTTAGTTTGTAAGCATTAGTTTTGTTTTTACAAGTTGATCACGGATTGATATCAGTTAGAGAACCATTGAAAACCAGCACTGGAGTACTGCCAGATAGCTGTTTCATCCTAGTTTGGGAATCATCGGCAGTACGCACCTACTGTTGATTTACTCAATTAACGATTTGTTGCCTCGTCTTTGTTTTCTGTTGTTACAATACTATTATGTACTAAGAGAAAAACAAAAGAGCCATTTTGAGTACGATTCATAATAAGGCCAAGATAAGATTGACACTGAAAACCAACCAATTCCCTTAGAGATGAACTTTATCATTTTAAGAATTAGATAGATTTAATGAAGAACAAAAATAGTAATAATCTGCTAAATACCATGCTGTGACTATGAGGTCAATTAAGCAGATCAAAATAGAGTAGATCAGGGTAAGTTAGAGTTATCGGAATAAAGGAATTTAGCTAGATATCTACAATATTAGACCATGCTAAGTTAAATAATCTAGGAAACTGTTCAGCCTTTGCTATATATATCAGCTTGCATGAAAGGCTGAGACAGAGTAAAATGTTAAAAAGTGAAATAGTTAGGTAAAGAGAGATTAATCATCACCGATTTTCTGTACATGCTTGGTGTTGATTCGATGAACACTGAGAAGGAAGCAACAGCTATCCACCAACTCCCTTATAAGGAAATTAACGGGTGGAGAAAAGGCTACATAAAACAAGTAAGGAAGTTGTGTGAATACACCGATAAGATTATTATTATTGTTCCCTTGGGTTCCTAGTGCAACATACGGCATCAACTGCACGTCTCCACTTGCTTCTGCTGTACTTTTCACCTACATCCATCTTAGTCCATACTGTTTCAACTCCTCTTCACACGATCTCCTCCATGTCACCTTTGGACGTCCCACTCACCACCTTCCTTTTGGGTTCCACTCGAGCGTTGGCCTGACACGCGATGTCACCCAGAGATCTCCTCAGCGAGTGTCCAATTCATCTCCACTTTCTCCTGCATATTTGTTGGGCGATTGATTCTCGTTTTGTTTGTTCCTATAGTTTCTCGTTGGTGATTCTTTCCGGCGGCAATCTGATCTCCAGTATAGAGCGCAGACAGTTGTTGATAAAGATCTGCAACAGGCTGTTGGAAATATTCTTGGTGACCCGCTGCCAAGTTTCTGATCCGTATAGAAGAACTGACTGACTTGACGTTTGTATTGAAAATCCGAATTTCGTTGTTGATGCAGGCTGAGTGACGAAGATTTCCAGATTGGTTTCACGTTGATGAATGTGTTTCTCGCCTTCCCGATTCTCGATTTGACATCCTCGTCCGTTCCTCCTGTAGTTGAGACAATGCTCCTTAGATATATGAATGAAGTAACCTTTTTCAAATCCCTCCCGTTGATGGAGATTAGCGCTGGATGTTGTTGATGTTGTTGGTGGTGGTTGGTTATTTTCATAACCTCCGTCTTGTCTATGTTCACCTGGAGTCCTGTCTTTGCTGCTTCTTTGACCAGTTTGTCGGTCTTTGCTTGTAAGTCTTTGATTTTGTGTGACATCAAACATAAATCATCCACGCGCGAAATCCACGTCTTCTAGGTTCTTCACGTCGGCCCAGAATATCCCTGTCTTCTCGTCTCCATGCACTGTCTGACGCATTATCCAGTCCACCACAATTAGGAATATCATTGGTGATAATAAGCACCCTTGTCTGACTCCTGTGTTTACTCCAAACGCCTCGCTGAGTACCCTTGTGGATCACTTGACATGTGCCGTTGCCGATAAGATTATGAGCCCATAAACTATACTCTAAACGTTATCCAGTTACTAACAGTCTATCACTGTGTATGATATCAAATGAACTTATCTAAAGTGAAATTATACCCAACCAAAGCGGCTGGCGGCCTGCTTAAAACCTGGACTACCGAAAAATCCCATTCATATATATTGAACACAATTTCTCTTATTCAGTTTGTTGAAATCTAGTTAAGGCAGGCATTGGACCAGACAGAAAGTGTATCGATCATATTTTCACACTCTGACAGATTCTCGAAAATAGGCACGCCTAGTGGCGTCTAACAATCGTCATATTTCTTTAACTGAAAGTAACATTCGATTCCCTCGACCGATAGGTACTATGGTGATAACGGACTGCGAAGGGAATGCCGAGGAAATACATTGCACTGATCAAGACAGTTCAATCGAATTCATACAGAGAGCCAGATGAGAAACTACGAAGAGTTTTCATCTGAAGTGATGATAACCAGTGGGGTCCATCAGGGATGTCCACCAATGTTCCCATTTCTTTTTAATTTCATCAAAGATGAACTAATGAACTTAACCCTAACTGAATTCATAGACTTAGAGATCAGCTTATTACCACGGAATAATCTCGTTGATTTAGAATATAAAGATGATATAGTCTTCCCCCCCTGGGTGAAGACGCTGACAAAATAGAGCAGAGTCTTATGAACACCTTGAGCAGTAGGCGATCCGCGAATGTTTGGCATGCGATTCATGCACTCCTGTCAAGTGTAATATGATGCTTCCTACAGAACTGGACAAAATTGACTCCTAGCTTAAAGATAGGGAGTGGAGTGGTACAGTGAGCTGACCACTTCACTTGTTATTTGGGAAATTGCATCAGTCAACGCCAGCGGATTGATCGATTGCTGAAGAAATCTCACCACGGATACAGAAGGCTCGTTTGGTATATGCGAAAATAGGCCATCTCCGGCTGGTTATCAACCAAATGACGTGTGTACTACTCAGCAGCTCCCTCTGTCCTCCTTTATGTCTGTAACAGAGATATGGCCATTGAAAGTAGAAGACATGAAAAGACTAGCTGTCTTCGAGCATGGGTGTCTGCATTCCATCTACATCCCGTGTTAGGTGGTGGTATAGCAAGGTGAACACTGTTGAGGTTAGTCATCGGTGGTCGAGTGCTAGGCAGATAAGGAGGGAAATCAATCGATGAGGTGGTTGTGAAGTTACATCGATTGAGAGAGATGGTTAGGACATGTGTTGCGCGCATACCACTGAGCCGTACCTTGACCAACGAGCGATGTCAGCTGACTGACATAGCATGATGGATGAGGTTGGAAAAAAGTCAGTTAGCTAGTGGTGGTCAAACGAAAACATGGCTTCATCAGTCAATGAAATCCACAATAGTTAGTTTAAGCCGGCCAGACAGACAGCCACAATTACCTCCATGTCACCCTCGCAATGACGACCCACCCGTCGCTTCCCATTTGGATTCCACTCGAGCATTGGCCTGGCTAGCATGCGATGTCATTCGACAGTCATTAGAAGAGTAGATGGATGCTTATGTGAATAGGCCTTCAAACCAGATGAAAGTAATGCCGCAGAACTGAGTTCAATAGAGATCTACCACTGAGCGCAATGAATGAATGATAATAACAATAATAGTTTTTATTTTATTTTACACAACAAAACTGAACGAATGATTGTAATTCAATTTAAATGAAATAAAGAGCAAAAAAAAATAAAAACTTACGATCCAGATGGAACTGTGAGATTATCAGGGAAAACTGGTTCGTAGACAACAACTAATAGTACCTGAGTATTTGTATGAATATTTTCTACAGACGGTAATCGTACAATGCCACAGGCGACTTGATAAGTTACTTCTTCAGAGGCATGATTTTTTATTTCACTCTTTCTTTGAAGTCTATTGAAAAAAAAGGATGAGAAGAAAGAATGAGGGGATATGAGGCACAATACCGGCTGATAAGTAATCAATATATATACATATATTATCATTATATTATTATTACCTTGTGTTTCGAGTGGAACATAGGGCTGGCTTCAACAACACATCTCCACTTTGTTCTATTTTCTGCCGTCCTCTTCAGCTGACTGGGTCCACGATTGCCCATAATCTCTCATCTCCTTCTCCTCGCCACACGATTTCCTCCATGTCACCCTAGCACTGACGACCCACTCGTCGCTTCCCATTTGCATTACACTCAAGCAATGGCCTAGGTAGTGAGCGATGTTATTTGATGGTCTCCTCAATGTATGTCCGATTCATCTCCACTTCCTCCTACATATTTGTTGAGTAATTGGCTCTTGGTTGGTTTGTTCCCATGGTTCCTTGTTGCTTATTCTTTCCGCCCATTTGATCTTTAGTGTGGAGCAAAGGCAGCTGTTGACGAAAGTCTGAGCTAGCCTGTTGGAAATCTTTTCCGTGATACGCAGTGCAAGTTTCTGACCCGTACAAAAGAGGTGACCGACTTCACATTAATGTTGAAAATGCGAATCTTGTTCCTTACGCTGACTGAGTGGGGAAGATTTTCAAACTGGTTTCAGGTTGATGAAGGTGTATCTTGCCTTAGTTTGAAAATCCCCATTGAGTCATATGAAAAAGAGAAGACGTTCAGTGAAGAGACTCTTTTCGACGGCGAATTCATTGTCATAGCTGTACAATCGCATTTATATATATAATTATTTGTGTGTGTGCACATGAGGTTTGTCAAGTTTAGATAATGGATCAGGTAATGCAAGAATGATCTAATATAAAAACAAGGTTAATCAGACACCAACTAAAGTAAGATTGAGTTAGTAAGTTAGTTGACGTAATATAATTGACAGGTAATTACAGGTAGAGACTAAGTAGAAGTGGGGTAGAGAATAATGCCATTTAAATTAGAACTGAAATTGAGCAAATAAGTTGGATGACGTAACATAAATGACTAGAAATTGAGCGTTGTTTAAGTCAGTAACAGTGGTAGTGAGGCGTAGAAATTAAATCGGGTGGGGGTAGAGAACAAGAAAGTTGAAAATGTAAAATATTACAATTGAGAAGACAAAATAATACTAATGAAGAGAGAGAAGAGAAAAAGATTAGGTAGAATTTACTTGTCGGCTAATAAGATAGATTACGTCCATTGCAAGTGTAGTGATTGAACGAACTTCTTCTGTATGCAGAGTTCAGGAATTAGCAAGTGAATCGCCATTGCTCCTGCAGTTTGAAGAAGTCTGATTCGTACACATTTAGGAAGACTACTTCTTGCTCTGTAGACGACTTTGAAGTGTGTTTGCGGTGTAGCTTGGTGTCCGGATTCTATCAGTTGTTCTAAGATGGAACTGCGGGGGCATCGACTTTCTCCTTTGTAAAACCATGTTGGTAAGTGTTCGATGACACGTTTGGAAAGCGAGCGCTGGGTACGGCCGACATACCTGGCTCCACATGAGCAGGTGAATTGATAAGTACACATTGATGAGGCCAGCAGCAGCAGCTTATCCTTCATGTTCACATGAGTCATAGGTTTTGTGGAGAAGGTTAGTCGTAGTTCAGCTGCGAAGGTCTTCTTAAGTGAGCGCGACAGTCGATTTTTTAGTGTTTCCGCAGATGTTTCCATTGAATTGAAGGTTCATGTAGAGTAGTTTTTTCGGGACGCTAAGCATGGGCGGCTTTGTGGTCTAGGATCCATAGATTTTGCAATAAATCTTTCTGGATAACAATTCTCGACTAGGATTCTCTTAAGATTGTCCAGTTAATCTTCTATGGTGTCCGGGGCGAAAATTCTGCGGACTCTGTAGCTGGGGTAACGGATCAGGTTTCGATTGATGTATACGGGTACCCAACTATGAAAGTTAGTAAGCTGTCCGTTCCACGTCGACTTTCTGTGGATAGACTTTTAAGTGTTCCATCCTGTTCTCGTCTTGTGAGTTGGACATCAAGAAAGGATATTTTGGAGTTAGACTCTTTCTCCAACGTGAACTGAATCGCGGGGTGGCAGTTGTTGAAGGAATTTAAGATGTCGTCGAGATTTTCTTCGTTGTTGACGATAATGAAAGTGTCGTCAACGTATCTCTTATAGATTTAGAAGGTATCGATCATTTTCTTGCCTTTCCAATACACTCTGACTTTGACATCTTCGTCTGTTCCGCCTGTAGTTGAAACGATGCTTCCCAGATAAGTGAAGGAGGCAACCTCTGTTAAATCTCTCCCACTGATGGTGATTGGTGATGGCTGTTGTTGCTGTTGGTTGGTTATCTTCGTCACCTCCGTCTTTTCGGTGTTCACCTGCAGTCCTGTTATCGCTGCATATATATATATATATGTATATAAAGAATTAGCAACAAGAAACTTTGGGTGGGAACAAACCAACAGGCGAGAACCGATTGCTCAACAAATATGTTGGAGAAAATGGAGATGGATCGGGCATACGTTGAGAAGGCCGTCGAGCGAAACCGCGTGCTATCCAGGCCAACACTCGAGTAGAATCCCAATGGAAAACGACGATTGGATCGGCCGAGGGTGACATAAAGGAGATCATGGGGAGGAGATGAGAAAAAATGGGCAATCGTGGGGTCAGCCAGGTGAAAAGGACAGCAGAAAATAGAACTAAGTGGAAATGTGTTGTTGAAGCCCTATGTTCTCTAATCGGAACCCAAGGGAATAATAATTATATATATACATATATGCTGACTTAAATTGTTCTAGTGTTTTGTTCGACATTAGAAGAGGATTCACTTGTCAGTCCTGCAAACTGGACATTTTATATCCCAGTCGTTCGTATTTGTCTAAATGGCACAGGGTTTTTGACCCACCAGCAAGACTTGCACTTGTATAGGAGTTAACGACATACTTGAGTAATTGAGAACGTATTTTTCTGGTGTGACAGGGAAATAAGTATCAGTTGCTTTAAGACCACATAAGGCGGGAGCTAGAGATTTGCCTATTCACGTCTTCTTCTTGAAATTCAATCAACGTAGTCCATAAAATTTTAAAAAGTTTGATTCCAAACAGTTTTTTAATGTTCATTAATCAAATGAAGACGAGATACGACAAAAGATATTTGAGCAAATGCACTCTGAAAACCTGGAGGCAACTAGTAACATTTAATCAAAAACATTTTGCTATGAAATACAAGCTACTCACAAAATGTTATAAGTAGTCAAAAAGTAAGTAAGTGCAGAAACTCACTTTAAAAGTCGAAGTGATGTAAGTTCTGTCCAATTCTTTAGGTTACCCTTTTCAATTTTTACAGTATTATCCCAGTCCTATGACACAAATAAACAAATTATTATGTTTATAAGAAAACTATTTAGGTAAGACAACTGATTGTTACAACGAATGTGATAGAGGAATCGTGAAACAAAATGGCCATTTACAAGTTATTATAGAGCTGTTCCAGGTGGAAAATATACCACAGCTTGCTTTGAATATAAAAAATATTCACATAACTATATGAGACCTACTTAATCTCATAAATAGCGACCAAGAAAGCGATTGACACAGCATCTACTCCTAGCAGAGCAGTTGGAAACCGCTGACGTCGACTAGTAATGTTTGTTAGTTAGCGACAAGTGTAAGTGGTTGAGTTGACATCAGTTAGAGAACCATTGGAAAACTAACAGGGAGTACTGCTAGACAGCTGTTTAGTCAGACTAGTTTGGGACTGACTGACTCTTCAGAAGTACGCACCTAACACAGCCGGTTCGAAACCAGGACGTTCTGGTTACAAGGCTAGTGAGCTCGTAGACCATTAATCTCACTGGGACCCGAGCGATCCAATGGCTAGTCCATGAATTCTAACTTCTGCCAATTCAATTCTAAATGATCTAGACATCAAACAGCTGTTTCGCTTGTTTGATTCCACTTCTCTCAAATAGCTTGTCGAAATTCATTTTGTTGAGCTGAGTCTATCCAGGCATAAAGCTGATTAACCTTATCCCATATGAGCGAAATAGCAGTTCAGTGGTAAGGTCCCTCCAAATATATCGGCTAGCAAGTACTACTACTACTATTAGTTGACGTGAGTGGATCCCAACTACCCACACTAATCCCCTGTTAGTATATACCACAATCCAATAAGCTCACACTTCACCATACAGATTTGAATAGCTCTAAGTGGCTTTGAGGTTCTGATATATATACAGACCTAATCTCCTACATGTCTGTTTGTACTTCTCTCACTCCACTTATTGATTTATGAACTGACTTTCTTTCACCTTACTTCTAACCTTTGAAATCCTATTGGCTGTTCACTGTCTTAATTCATTAATGACATTAGTGCTTCTCAAGGTCATTTTAAACATATATACATACGCGAGCCCTGTCAACCATTTTTGATTGCTGTTTTGAGGCAGTAAAAGCTCTCTTAGTAACGTCGACTCTTTCTCTTCTATCTTTGCAGCCTGGTGGTGTTATTGTTGATGTGCAATTAGGAAAGATCAGTCAGCGCATTTAGTTAGTATTCACTCAAAGTCTACTAGGCCGTAGTTCCGATCAAAACAGGTTCTTTAATATTTTGAATAATTATTCTAACAGTTTTATTATTTAAAAAAAATTACAAAACTTATACTGAATGTCAAAAGCGATTGGAAAATAAACGAATGGAAATCAGTTGAGAAATAAATAATTACATCTTCCTCAGGGTGCAGAGATGGAATTTTCATTGTTGCATCTGGGTCGAACAATGTTCCTTCATAAGGCGTGAGAGATACTCACATTTTCAGTTAGTATCTTGCTTAAAAAAAAGAGTGACCTATTCATCGGAAGACACTGAGTTTTGCCCTCTTTGGATTTGGATATGATGTTCAAATGACTCATAAACTTCTGTGGGACATTAGACGGATCAATACATAGAAAGCCAAATTGGAACAGACGACTGACAAGTTTTTACGGTTGAGTGTTCATAAACTGTTCAAGGAACCTGATTATTATCTTTGAAGAATCTCCAGACTTGAGACGATACACAAATAAATAAATAAATAAATATTACCTGTACTTTACTTAGCCACTACATGCTATTGGCATTTTTTTTATTTCCTTCACGTTCCCCAGTGGAACATAGGGCTTCAAGCTAGTGGCTTGAAGTTTCTGTAGCAGTGCTTATTTTAGAGGATGGGGTTGCTAGCCTCAGGCCCAACGTTTCCTCTTCACCAGATTTTAGTTTTGGCTTAGCGAGGTAAAGGAGTGCGTCGGCCGGGGATCGAACCCCGGACCATGTGCATGGTCGGCATTTACAAGACAATTTTTCGCAATGCATTGTGAACTCCACTTATTGTGATGCAAAATAATCTCACATCTACTTGCTTACGCAAACTCCGGTGGCATTTGGATCGAATCTGCGAGAATAGTTAATTGGAAGTCGACACTGTTCACAACGTCAGTGCATGCGTCACAGCTCAACGCATTTTACTGCTGGTCATAAGTGACTGACTGCTGGATGGAGTTACTAGAATTGTAGTGAGAAATGCTGACTGGTGGAATCCACCAAGTCGAGTATGAGGACAGAAGCTCGTCGACAGCACTGGTTATACGTTGGCGGAAGTTGGAATTTATGGGTCAACGGATTGCATCCCAGCAGTTGAATGGTCAACCGGTACACTTCATAACTTGAAGCTCCTTGGTTTAAACACCTCTAGAGTTATAGGTGCATAATTTTCAAGAGTACAAAATAGCTGTCCCTACTTTCTAATGGTTCTCTCACTTGAAATCATATTTGTAAAGTAAAACTAGAAAGGCATACTAGCACACTGTAAGTAAAGTCTATGTGAATGCAGTCATAATTAATACATTCAGTTGTCTTAATACATATGGCCAATTACTTATGATGCCATTGAAAAAAAAAAACATTTCCGAGAAAGATATGACCAAGATGGCTGACCGACTGACTGACTGGTTTCAACACAGAACTTTGTACAGATGTCTTAGTCAAGCGAACAACCACAGGGGAATTAGAAACACAAGTCTATAGAAAATCAACTCACACAGACCAAATCCTGAATTACAAGAGCAACAATCCAATAGCACACAAGAGAAATTGCATACAAACACTATTCAAGCGAGCCAGGACTCATTGCAGCACTCCCACCTTAAGGAAAATTGAAGAAAAATATCTCATGGACGTCTTCCAAAAGAATGGATATCCACGGAATTTCATCAAAAGACATATACCCCCAAGCCAAACTATCAAACCAAAAGCCCCCAAGGAAAGCACAAAGAAAATCGCCATATATAAAGGATATCTCAGAAATCACTACAAGACTCTTCAAACCTTTAGGAATTGACGTCGTACACAAACCAACAAAGTCACTTCACTCAATTCTATGTCAACCAAAAGACTCAACAACGAAGGAAGATAAAACCAACATCATCTACAAAATAAATTGTATCAACTGCGAAAAACACTACATTGGCCAAAGTGGACTTCCCCTTCGTCTTCGTATCCACGAACATAAGCTAGCCGTCAAAAGACATGATATCCACTCCCTCATATCACTACATACAGACAACCACGGACACCAATTCGACTGGGACAACGTTCAAATATTAGACAGAGGAAACAACAAAAATGCTAGAAGAATTTTTAGAAGCTTAGCATTCCAGTGAATCATCAATCAATAGACACATCGAGATTGACAAAATTTATCAACCGATAAGAAGGAAACCTCACACACAAAGGGTCAAAGTTCAAGTCAAAGAAACAATGAGTGACAATACAAGTAACCTAGAAGGTGTGAAAACACACAAAAACAATCAATCACGTTCAAGGTCACCAGGAGAGATGATTAATAAACTCGTGGAGAAATCTAAAAGCTCACTTCAACGAATTGAAGTATGCGCTGAAGATGTCGCCTAGTAGGGCGATGAAAGCTTCGCAAATTAACTATCCAGCTAGCTCAGAGAACACAACCACATTAAGAACAATAGAATTTTTATTGGATATGACAAATGACAAAGAGTGCGCCAGCCATTGACAACGACGATTTTGAGCCATATCACCAATTTTCTCCAGCTGCCATTCGTGTTTATCATCTCGCGGACCCCAACCACACCTCTCTATGTGACTAGCTTAAACTAATTGTTGTGAATTGCATTGACCTCATCCATCCTACGTCAGTCAGTTAACATTGCCCGTCGTCCAGGAAGGTAATCAATGGCTCAGTGGTATGCACGACACATGTCCTAACCATCTCAATCGGTGTGACTTCACAACTACCTCGTCGAGATAAATATTTTGATATAACAACCGGTGATTATACAGGTTCAACATCATTGAAATTCCTCTAACCCACATAAGATTAGGTACACATATCAACCCACGCATTAAAACTACTAAATTTTCTGTAAATTCAACTGAAAAGGGTAAATGCTATCATAAAACACATAAATAAAGAGTTTAGACAACAGTATGTTAATTAGCCAGTTTATTGTATAACTCCTACCAAGCCTACCTAATGACTGGGTTCCGACAAATGCATAGAAAGTAAATCTGTTGAAAACAAAAGAAGGCATAAACATTACACACCTGAAGTTGTTTTACTTCATCACCGACATGTTTATGGATATAAATATTCCTGAATCCCGAATCTTGAACTAAGAAGACACAGTTAACAATCTAATATGTCCCTCCTTTTGTACATTTTCTCACCCTCCTCACGCGTGTTGAATTGACACTTTATTATGATGATTATTATTCCCTTGGGTTCCTAGTGGAACATAGGGCTTCAACTACACGTCTCCACTTGCTTCTGTCTTCTGCTGTACTTTTCATCTGCATCTATGTTAGTCCATACTGTTTCAACTCTTCTTCACACGATCTCCTCCATGTCACCCTTGGACGTCTCACTCTCCGCTTCCCTTTCAGGTTCCACTCGAGCACTGGCCTAACGCGCGATGTCACCCAACGGCCTCCTCAGCGAGTGTCCAATCAATCTTCACTTTCTCCTGCATATTTGTTGGGCGATTGGTTCTTGTTTTGTTCGTTCCCATAGTTTGTTGGTGGTGATTCTTTCCGGCGGCCATCTGATCTTCAGTATAGAACGAAGACAGCTATTGATAAAGGTCTGCAACAGGCTGTTGGAAATATTCTTGGTGACCCGCTGCCAAGTTTCTGATCCGTATAGAAGAACTGACTGACTTGACGTTTGTATTGAAAATCCGAATTTTGTTGTTGATGTTGAGTGACGAAGATTTCCAGACTGGTTCCAGGTTGATGAATGTGTTTCTCGCCTTCCCGATTCTCGATTTGACATCCTCATCCGTCCCTCCTGTAGTTGAAACAATGCTCCCTAGGTAAGTGAATGAAGTAACCTCTTTCAAATCTCCCCCAATGATGGTGATTGGCGCTGGATGTTGCTGTTGTTGGTTGGTTATTTTCATAACCTCCATCTTGTCTATGTTCACCTGGAGTCCTATCTTTGCTGCTTCTTCGACAAGTTTGTCGGTCTTCGCTTGTAATTCTTCGATTTTGTGTGACATCAAACATAAATCATCCACGCGCGAAATCCAGGTCTTCTAGATTCTTCATGTCGGTTCAGGATATCCCTGTCTTCTCGTTTCCCACTGTCTGACGCATAATCCAGTCCACCACAACTATTAAATAGACACTCAACTATCACCTTTATTCTCATTCAATAACAATTTCTAACCTTATCAAAGTTCTAACCCTTTCTTACTTTGTGCCGTTGTTGAGCATACTACGTAATTTACAACTTTTATTTTTACTTCTAAAGTCACTTCTGGGTAATTATATCAACTACTCAATAATAGGCTAGCATACATTTTTGGTAAATATAAATACGACTGTGCACAGCCAGCCTGTGAAGATGATTTCGTCGATAAAGAAAATTTTTTTCGCTGAGTTTGTCTTTTATATTCTTCATGACTCAGTGGGTATATTTCCGGTGATTATTGCACCTTTGTTTACATCTGTTTCGAAACCTGAAATAAATAGCATTTTCGACGAAGAATTTCGCACACACAAAAAGGGCCACAGTTCATAAAGTTCATATAGAATTAGAGGAAAAAGAAATGAACAGAGGAAACTATCCCACCAACAGAGATATGAGGGGGGCGGGGCAGGGCGGACTAAGTTAAGGAGTATAATCTGGGCACTCAATAGATCTGAAAGATTACAAGGAGCTGGGTACGCATATCTGCGCCATTGAGAACAATTTTTCGGCTACTTCACCGACAGTCTCTCTACTTATTGATTCAAACATCAAAGAATTCATGGATGGATACTATGTTTCTTGAGTAAATCAATCTTCACTCTTTTCTAACCCAGTCAGTCAGTCAGTATTATGTCAGTTAATATTGCTTGAAGAGGGAAAAGAGAGATGGATTGGCATGTGTGTAGCACATGTGTCTTAGCGCCATCTTAAATCGATGTGGGGCTTTCACAATCCGATCGATTGATTGATTGATTGATTGATTGATTGATTGATTGATTGATTGATTGATGTTTCCTTCTTACCCTTATAACACTTTACACATAACCTCAGAATCTACCAATCACAGACAATAATAATCACATTTTGTTAATACACTAGTTCAAAAACTTTGATTGGACACTACTAGTCAATGTGTCTAGTCCATTGTTTGGTGCAGACTGAATTCTGTTGTCAGTCAAGTTTGCAATGTGGCTGTCACTATGCCACCTGGTGGCTAGCCATCACGGTGTACGAAACCTAAGTCCACGGCCGTCTCTGGCGTAGACGTGATATCCGACTATCGACCAAAGGGCGTGTGTACTGCTCAGCAGCACTTTCCTTCCATCCCCCTTTATGGCTGTGACTGGGACCTGGCCATTGAGAGTGGAAGACATGAAAAGATTAGCTATCTTTGATCATAGGTGTCTGCGTTCTATCTCCCGTGTGAAGTGGTGTAATAAGGTGAGCAATATTGAGGTTAGGCGTCGAGTGCTAGGTAGGTGGGAGGGGAAATCAATCGACGAGTCTGTGAAATTACATCGACTGAGATGGTTAGGACATGTGTTACATATACCTAGCCATCACCTTCCTCAACCGACGGGCAATGTTAGCTGACATAGGGTCAGGTTGAAAAAGAGAGAGCCAGTGGTGGTCAAACCAAAACATGGCACCAGTCAATGAAATCCACAACAGTTAGTTTAAGCGACGTAGGAAAGTGTAGACTTCCTGGTTGGGGTCCTTGAGAAACAATTGGTGATATGGCTTAAAATCGTTCTCAATGGCTGCTGCAGACGCATCCACTCCTTGTGACTTATGATTTCCGATGAAACTGTTTTGTTCTTCGTTATTACTACTCCTTTGTCTCACACCTCTGTTTACTGTCTATATTATGCATTTCCCCTACTTTCTTCTCTTGCTTTGTGTGCTACAAAGAGGGAGTGTGGCGACTTGAACTGCTGCACATCGGTGCAGCGTTCTATGTCGAAAACAGACTGACAGACAGACAGAAGTTCAAGGCTTCTTGCCACTGGCCTCCAACCATCTAATATCAATAGTTCAAGCGTAAAACAAACTTTGAATACAACAAATTCACTTACCATAGGATTGTAAACTCTGAATGTTTGAATCAGTAGGCTTGAATAACGACGATGAGCGTAAACCATTGTCCCGGATGAAACGCACAATTCATTCTGTAGCATACAAAAACAAAAATAATTTAAACAGTATTATGGGAATACCAACACAGTCAGTAGAATACATGTTAAGTCAAAACACTTCATATTTACCAATAGGACAACTAATGATCGTTTAATATTCAAGTATTGGTTTGTAGGGATTTGGTTGGTTGGTTACAGGATTTTATCATGAGCTAACATCGGTTGAAGAACCATTGGAAAACCAGCTGGGAGTACTGCCAGACAGCTGTTTCATCTTAGCTCGCGACTCTTCATCAGTACGCACCCATCGGGGTTTGAACCCAGGACCTTCTGGTTAAGCCGTTGGGACCCAACCAATCCAATGGCCAGCGCATGAATTCCAACTTCTGCCAATTCACGACATAGTGCAACCACTAGACAATGTCTTCGGCGAGTATTTGTCCTCACGCTTGAACTACTATACTCAATTATTTTACGCGTAAAAAGATTTTTTATTAAGTTAAAAGCAACATTTAACGTGTGGTTCAAGTCGATATATGGAAGGTAAGGTAGAGTGAATCTGTAACTCACACAAGTCTAGCCACTCGACTTTTATCCACTGGATCATGAGATGTAATCCCAGGTGTCTGCTTGTCTCTTTTCGACATAGAACTTTGCACATATGTGCGGCAGTTCAAGTCGCCACACTCCCTCCTTGTAGCACATAAAGCGAGAAGAAAGTAGGAGAAATGCATAATAGAAACAGTAAACAGAGGTGTGCAACAAAGGAATAGTTATAACGAAGAACAATATAGTTTCATTGGAAATCACAAGTCACAAGGAGTAGATGCATCTGCGACAGCCATTGAGAACGATTTTGAGCCATATCACCAATTGTTTCCAGCAGTCATTGGTTTTTACCGTCCCGAGGACCTCAACCAGGAAGTCTACAACTACGTGACTGGCTTAAACTAACTGTTGTGGATTTAATTGACTGATGAAGCCATGTTTTGGTTTGACCACCACTGGCTCTCTCTTTTCCAGCCTGACCCTATATCAGTTAACATTGCCTGTCAGTTGAGGAAGGCGATGACTAGGCATACGTATCACCTCAGTCGATGTAATTTCACAGCCTCGTCGATTGATTTCTCCTCCTCACCTAGCACTCGACCGACGCCTAACCTCAATATTGCTCACCTTATTACACCACTTCACACGAGAGATAGAACGCAGACACCTATGATCGAAGACAGCTATCCAGGCTTTTCATGTCTTCCACTCTCAATGGCTAGGTCTCACAGCCAGCCATAAAGGAGGACTGAGTGGACTGTGAGCAGTACACACGCCCTTTGGTCGATAACCAGCCGGATATCACGTCTACGCCAGAGACGGCGTAAACTGGTATATGCGAAACTAACCCTCTGTATCCGTGACGGGATTTCGTTAGAGATCAGGTAGTATCATTGGTCCCTACACAACAGGTATAGTTAGTTCATTGTCATGCGGAGTAACATGTGAACCGTGTCTACTCGAGCGGAAGGTAGAACACACATATTCACCTATTACTTAAAGGAAATAGATAACCTAAATATATTAGTTGAAGTACGATGACGTTGAAAGGAAGAGAGACAAAAAAATGATCAGGCAAAAACAAACACTTAGTACATAATCCAACTACTAATGTAAGCCATGCATGCACAAAATGTCTGGTAGGCAAACAACAATAGACAAGATGCAAAGATTCGTTGCTCTTAGCGTATTCCATTCTAAAGTCCTATTACCTTGTTTTTCTTTCATCTTATTTATTAATTTAAACGCAGAAGAAAAAACTTGGTACAATATGGCACCAAGAAAGATGCACCACACAATAATAATAAAACAACATAGATTAAAAGTAAAAATATAAGCAGAAAACGGGTAAAGAACTTCATTTGGAAGGAAAACAGTCATGTTTAACAAGTTCAAACACTATTCGTTAACTATCACCACGAAGGGAAGAAAGAAGGAAATTGCAACACGTTCGCCATTGATTACGATTCTTGGCCATATCCGATAACGTTTCGAGCCATCGATTCGAGCTATGTCGCGGACCCCAACCAGGGAGTCGTGACGCACCAACCGATGCTAACCTAGCACAAAATTCCTTCATCCCACGACGCCACGTCATGGACTGACCCCACCCCTCCGCCTTTCCCATCCCGTCCCAGGCCTAGCGAACAGAGACCTGTACGGAAGCTTCTAGGATGGCATTCGCAGCACATGTCCAAGTCACCGGAGCCGGTGTTTCCAGATGACGACATTCAATGAATGGTGATCTCCACTGTGTTCAAACACACGCCGTCGGACCTCAAAATTACTCACGCCTCAGGATGGTCGGGGGTGGGTGCCTTGCGCTGCGGGTTGGCCACCCCTCCGCACACCTCTTGAAATGCTCTCATATGACCGGGCGTCTTACATAGCCTCTCCTGAGGAAGTCCTACTCACTGCCTTCACGTGGCGGAGGTGTTTTTCACCAAAGTGAGAGGGCGAAAGCGGATGCCTGGCGCTCTTCACCGGGTTGACTGTCCATTGGATGACAGTCTAGGGGAGATGGCTAAACCCTGATTCCAAACCTCCAACGACTGGCGTATGAAGCTCACTGGAGCTCACCGGAAGACGTATGGACAAAGGGCTTGTTGGATTTCCTGGATGTCTGGCCCCATTCAAAAAGGCGTATGAACCGAACTCCGGTCACCGGCTGCCAATGGATAGTGGACTCCCTACTCCACTCCTACTGCCTTGTAGGTCACACTTGGTTGTGTAAAGGCTAGAGCTGCACTCTCAAACAAAAGGCCGAGTGATTCTGGGGACATCACTCGTATCAAATTCCCATGAAACTTCATGAACTCTCTTACAAACGACGCAAAACCTTGCATCAGATCGCCGCACCTGGGCAGCGATGATTCGAGATGTTCATGAAGCCGGCTCATCCTCCCGTAGGAGACAGCCGAAGTAAAGTAAGTAAGTATCGAACGCAAGCAATCCTGCAGAAACAGCGATGGTCGAACACGCAGAGTCGCCTCACATCCTCAGCTCGGAGAGGCCAGGTTTCACAGGAGTAGAGGAAGACAGCCCGCACCGAAGCATTGTATACCCGGCCTTTGACAGCCAGGCTAACGTCGCGACGGCGCTAGAAGTGGCTCAAGTTGATGTATGCCACCCTAGCCTTCATTACACAGTTGGAAATCTCATCCGTCACGACTCCACCAACACTCACACAACTACCCAGATACACAAACTTGTCGACAACTTCAAGCGGTTCACCCACAAGTGTGAGCGCAGGTAAAGGCTCCTGCCAATCTTGTAACAGTACTTTGCACTTAGACGGCGCAAAGCACATACCATACTTACAGACACTTTCATCTGGCACGGAAATGTACTAAAACTCAGAGTATGACACTTTTTTTACTATAGCTTGAAAGCACACAGTATTTTTGATACAAGTATGGAATTTTTAACACGTGATATCGGTAGCCCAAATTTTGCAGGCCGACCATTCATTGATATCAGGTGTGCGCCGGCAGGGGATCGAACCCCAGACCATGTGCATGGTCGGCAAGAGTCCTAACCACTGTGCCACCGACGCCACATAGCACTTAATTATCTACTGCAATAAACTAAAAGATGTCAGAAGTCCGCAAGAGAAACCTAGCACAAACATACATCTTTGTATTTGTTAGCGTTTTTGTGACTATACTCCAATAAGTACCAGGAAAGAGGCGGTAAAAGAAGTGGTTTAATATTACTATCGCTTTTTCAATCAAATGTCCGATAAACAGCATAGTTGTAGCATAAAATACATCGATAATCAATAAATCTAGAGAATGTTAAAAAAAATAGCATTCAGTTTTTAGTACAGCTAATGCAAATGGTCTATACTACTCCAAAGGTAGAAAGTGTGGAGGTTTATAAACTGTAAAACGTCAACTGTACAATGCGTGTCTAGACTTCGGTCAAAATATAAGTCTTCAATATTGTTTGGTATTTAGTAGTTTTAGCACACAAACACGCAAACACACAGAGCATTCTGTCTGACATCATGCAAGCAACATAGCTCAATAAAATATGAGAAGATGAACTATCGTGAGAATGTATTTGTATCAAAGTATGATACCTCTTCAACACAACCTATCAACTTAAAATTGTTCAGTGGAAATCATCCTGGCATATATGTGAAGATTACAGACCCGACCGAAAGCTGCTACCTTGACGTGGTGGTCGGGCTTGAACGCTGCAATGACCCTACAAGCTATACTGGCTGAAACTTATGTCGCTTGAGGTCCTACCATGCCAGAAAGGTTGTTTGGATAGCGGTTAGACAAAAAGCAGCTACCCAATCCAATACTATGATTCAAACAAATTCGCAAAATATTATGCCGGATCGGTCGGGGCCCGGATTAACAACGACCGCGCTCCCTGCTGCCGTGTCACAGGGCAGAATTGATAAATATGCTACTGAGACACACCAAACAAAAAAGAACAAACAAAAACAGGCCGAGTGTGACCGGCCTCAAGCAGTTATCCCATGGGCTCTGTGGTCACGCAACAGTCTTTCTGTTTCAGGTTCCCGAAGAATCAATCAACTTCCACGGTGTGAGCAGCCGGGAAGTAACAACCGCCCACACACTTCCAAAAGCACACGAAGCCTTCCTGAGCATCACTCTCCCTTACTTACATCACCTTTCTCATCTTGCTTCTCTACTACAGTTAGCACTATTCTGCAGGCAAGTGAGTCATCTTCACTTCACTCTGTGTCCACAAACAAAGGTGAGAGCCATAGAAACACCCCAGATAGCCTTTTAAAGCCACGTCGCGAACTTCATTTAGGAGCTTTTAACGTCAGATTACAGAAAGCTTTTGGAACATATGTCACCTTCAAACCAACAGGGTCACTTCAATCAACATTACGTAAACCTAAAGACGAAACTACTAATATCCATAAACCCAGACTATTTCAACTACGAAAAACGCTAACATTGGGCAAAACAGACATCCCCTTTATCCTTGCATGCAAGAACACTAACTAGTAATCAAAAGACAACGTATATTCCCACAAATCAATACATACATCAGTTAGATTGAAAAAATGTAAAAAGAAAAAGAAAAAAGCAGAGAGAACATGAAGAAAGCCAGCAAAATTCCTAAGCGTTTGGTACTTAGGTCAATTCGCCTGTTTTGCAAATCAATAAAGAGTAAATCGTGCAACTGAAACGTCGAATACCAGCTCAATGAGATGACCAATACAACCCCAAGAAAATTTCCAAAGACGAACAGTCAAAAATACGGTTAACAATGAAGATGTTGTATAGAGGAAGGATAATTAAAGCTTCATAATTCAACTTATTAACTCAGAGAGACAGAACAGAACAACATCAAATAAGCCCACTTGAGATAGTAAAAAAAACCTTCCCCATCATAGTAATCTAAGGTTGACAACGATTTGATTATGTAAAAGGAAACAGATAAAACATGGATGATTGATGTGTTTTTTTTCACTATTCTGAGATAAAGTAGGTGCTAAGATTGTTACTAATGATGTAGTGGGTAACGACACGAGAAGCTGAGTCATGACAGAATTCAGACAAGTGGCCTCTAACATTTCTAGCCCATTACATCAGTAGCAGCCTGCTAATCTAAAGTTATATAAACAGTTTCACCGAGTGATTGTATACGTTTTAAACTCTTGCCAAAAACTCAGTAGTCGCTTTTCCCGTCTGAAAATAATCAGGCCATATACATAAACATTCAAATTTCTGATGTTTGCAATCAAATTTTACCTTGTTGCATCCTGCTTTTCCAGTGTGATTAGTTACTATAAGGAAAAGAAGTCGACGATTTTACAACAGACTTAATTTTTTCTATAGTTTGGTTTGTAAGGGTTAGTTACGTTTTACGAGTCCAATTACGGTCCAATTAGATGTCACGTGTATCGATGGATGTCCCACCAACGACAATGGTTGGTTCCAGTCGCGCTAAATCACGAATTGGTAGAAGTTAGGATTCATGAGCCATTGAATCGGGTCCCAGTGACTGAATGGTATACGAGCTTGCCTTGTAACCGGAAGGTCCTGGGTTCGACCCCTGGCAGTGGGCGCGTACTGACGATGATTCCCAAACTAGGATGAAGCAGAAGCTGTCCAGTACTCCCTGGTTTTCAATGGTTCTCTAATTGATATCAGTCTGTGATCAACTCGTAAGACTTAATTTTTGTGCTTATTTTAGGTTTTTCTTTATAACTGAGGAAAAATAGATACATAATTTGTTCCTATTTTAAGGACGCATATACAATGTGAGGTTATGCATATACTAATATGCTAATTATACATACTCGATATTTTACAAGGTAGCGTAGGCAGACGGACTAGTACTGTTCAGTGAAATGTTTGTGCGTGTGTGTGTTGACCGCTTCCCTTATTTGGGAAGTCGATAAGTGCTAATCGACTGGTTGCCGACGAAATTTCAATGCGGACACAAAAGGCTCACGTGACATTTGCAAGCTAACATCATCTCTGCTGTCGATTAAAGAACTAGTGTACTGCGCAGCAGTTTACCCCGTCCTCCTTAATAACTGTGAGACACGGCCATTGGAAGTGGAAGACATGAAAAGCCTGGCTAGCTGTCTTTGATCATAGGTGTATATCTCTCATGTTAGGTGGTATAATACGGCGAATAATATTGAGGTTCGGTGCAGTATTACGCAAGGAGGGTAAATCGACTGATGAGGCTGTGAAGCTTTACGACTGAGATCCCTAGGAAATGCATAACACATACCCAGTCACCACCTTCTTTGTCCATTAATGTTAACTGGCATACGATCAGACTGGAAAGCTGTTAAGGTTGGTCGAATAAAATACTGTATCAGTCAACGAAGTCTTTGACAGTCAGTCAGAGTCACGCAAGAAAGTATAGACTGTCTGTTTAAAGTCCTAAAGATGTTAGGAACCAATGACTAGAAACTATTAGTGATACGGCTCAAAAACCGTTCCACTCTTTGTAACCTCCGAGATACATTAAACATTTATAGTTTCTACATGTCACTATACTTCCTCCTGAACGTTTCTGCTCATTGGAATTCTCTTCAATTCCTTTTTTTGTCTTTGTGTAGTGTAGCAACTTGAGCTGCTGCAATTCTGGGCAAAGTTCTATGTTGAGACTCTGTTATTTTAAATAAGTCTACTTATCAGTTTTTATGCTACAGCATTCGAAAAAAAAATTTGGGAAATAAAATTTATTTCCGTATGTAAAATGAGTGAGGCTAACATTGAGTGAAACCACTAAGCACTACATTGGATTCAATCAGTTCAATAACTCGATTACGACAACATAAGAAAAGTGATTTAGGGTGAAGTTAGATAATAATAATAACCCAGTTGATATAAGTATAAAACTTGGGCACTGTGGTAGAGTATAACTCCATTTTGGATAAGATTTTATTTTAATAAATCACACAGTGTTGTACAGTTATATTAACTGATGACGTTTCGAACACAAACTATTGCTCATAATCATATCAAGTTACTCACACAACTTCTTCTCTTCATTTATATAAATGTGTGGAATCGATTAGATATTGGAATAAAATTCAATATGAGATAATGTACATTCAGAAATAGTAGTGCGAGTGCTATTGATCCATTACAATTAGATGGGAAATAACCCAGTTGTCCTGAACTAATTTCTTATGTATTACACTATAAGCTATACTTGCGTAACAGCTGATGACACTACTCAGCAAGCCAGGTTGACGTAGGTAAAGCACGGAAAAAGGAATAGGAGACTTTGTCATCGCCATAGTACTGAACAGTGGTTACCTGTATAATCGCAGTCTCTTAAGTATTAGCGAAACCATATATTGTTTAATATATACTTGTGTGACGCGAGGAACTTTATGAAAAAATGGAGTTCTTCACGACAAGATCAAATTCCTTGTCAAACCAACAAATAACGCGGGGCCAAGCAAAATACGCATGATAAAGAACCTTGTACAGCTGAGTGAGAGTGATAACTGGGGTAGGTACTTCACAGGCATAATACGCTGACCACTTTTATCTAGACCCAACATATTCAAGAAGTAAGATCTCTTAAATTAATTTCTCACTCGATGATTCGTTAGCATCAAATATTTTAAGATATATACATTAGAAAGAAATCTAATGTACATACCCCTTTAACAAGACTATGGATAGTAAACACTAGTTATGGTAATTAAGACCGGAGGTTATATTTATAATGTGTAATTCATACCAATATACATATGTGCATGTCAGAATGCTGAATGAATCTCAAGCACGGATCACTTAACTGTTTCACTGAAGTTCAACCTGAAAACAGCACTTTGTATCATTACCATATATATATTACCATATATACCTCATACATACATACCTCTTCATTCTGAAGTTTGACGACGCAGTATCTGACATTTTCTTTTATTTATTTAGCTGCTAAATAACTATAATTCTCATCAGTTACAGTCTTATAAAAGTCAATAAACACAGATCCCATGTATAGGTGAAATATCACCGATTAATAGTTAGCTAACGACATAAAAGACCATAGGTGACATCTGAAATAAAGTATTGGTGAGATAAATACACATTAAGATCATGTTTTATTTTAGAATTTCCAAGCTACACTGAATAAACTTGACGCTTAGAATACATGAAGATAAAGAAAAACGGTCAATCACTTACTACATGCTTGAAGCAACTCATTTTGTGCATTATTCCATTTCGAATATCTAACAATAGAGCTTCTAAAAAAGTGTTATATTACAATAATTTGCAAATATACTGAAATTGACATATCCATGAACATCTAGGGTGAGCAATACTGGTATATTAAGAGTTTTAGACAAAAACCCATTATTAAAGATCACTATTCCATCTTCTTGAAATGAACACCCAATTACACCATTTCCTAGATAATAAATAATTTCGATAAAGTAAACCAACTAACCTATAAATGTTAGATCACTTTGAGGATTTTCTGGTTGAATTAGAAATGCATCTAAATCGCGTATCCTCTTTTCAAATGGTTTTAGACGATCCACAACGCATTCATGTGGTTCATCTGATAATAAAGTCTATCTCACTATAGTATGAAAAGCAGTTACCAGTTTTTACGAACTCTGAGACAAATTCTGAAGGTGTAAGGCACCACAGGAATAAATACAAACAACATAATACAATTAGATATATTACAATTCTCCATCTATTAAGCAAGCCATTATATTATGCACGAATAGAATCCTACCTGTAAAACGAAAGAACAAATGTAGTTTTCATTCCCACCAACTGGGAACCCTTAATATAGATCCATATGCAACCTAGATTCCAGCGTGCAACCTTGTACCTCATTCTAGGTCAACATAGATTACGTTACCGACCATTTAGACAACATTAATTTATAAGTTTATATGCAAAAATTTATTTATTTATTAATATTTTTATATATAACTCTTTCAAATTCTGAATGCCATGAAGTAGCTGTGCTGCTAAGTAGTTTGTTTATATCAGCAGTTTTAGACCGTATACTCTGCATTGAAGGAAAAGCGATATAGGCAGATTTTGATTGGCTGTTGGCTAGCTGGCTTCTTATTGGTCTAAAATATAAGTAAAAATGGCAGTCTCTTTATTTTGACACGGAAAGTTACAGTCAGTTTAAAGTCAGTCTTAACTTACCATAATATAACGGCGTGTTAATTTTTTTGGTGTGAGTGTAGTGTGATAGTCACACGCTATTTGGATGCATTTGTAGTATTTAAAGTACATTGAGATATATGGGAATGTCTAGTAAGTGAATATAAGTTAACAATAATTTTGATGCATTTATTTTAAGTCCAAAATAGGATGTATGCATTTTTTGTTACTATGGGAATAGAATTCAATAAAAATTGCTAAACGTATAATGTGTCTAATTTTGGACATGTAGATATATGTATGTATTAAGTGATCTACTTTTTTAAGTTTTCAGTTTAGTGACCTGTGGGAATTGCACATACTAGGTCAACATAAATAAAGTAAATTTCCTATGTCACAAAAGTGGTATATAAGCAATGAAATGCATACAACTGTTCATTTACTTGAAATCATTGTGTTGTGCACGTTAGGAATTGTTAGAACCATTAAATGATGTTGCAAAGTACTCCTACTGCGTCTACTTCACGGAATGTGTCATCTATATTGTGTGATGTAACAGCTACATTCCAAAGGATAATGCTTTGCTGTGTATTTTATACATGGATGCAATTTAAGGAAGCTTTAGATGCATTTATGAAGGTACTAACTAAGTTGTTCATTATTTCTTTGAAAGGAATCCAACACATGGTATCGGGTTGATTCCAGTAAAAAGGATCCATCCGGTCCTATGGAATACATTCTGAACCAAAGAAATCCGGATGCTGCACTGCGGGAAGTAGCAGAGTTCACAAGAAGGTTGGACACTTTGCTAGCAAATGAACCGCAAACAACTTTGAGATTACGACGTGCCCCTGTTAATCGATCATTTTTGTGAAAATATTTGCATTACCTTATTGTTTCCATTTGTATTCACAATATAAACATCTATGTCTAAACTGTGTTACACTTCCTTTCCCTTCAAATGCCTGAGAGCGACAGTTTAAAGCATACTTTGGTTGATTGTTTCCTGATGAGAGCGCTTGGCAAGTCAGTTACAAATTACACCGATCTGTGCCTTATGTAATGCGTTTTATCAGCCGAAGATTTCTAGTTCATAGCATATCGCGAGTAACGGCGACTAATACGATTTATTGCCTATACCGTAATCACCCCAGGCTTACAACAATTCTAAACTTATTCTAACCTATTCTTCGATAATGCTTATTAAGAAGAACAAGGTGATGAATTACAGCCGGTCATGCGGATAAAACAATCCCACAGTTCTGGTTCAATCACATTATCAAACAATGGAAAACCAGTTAGGGAGTTCATTTATTAAATAGTGTTACTATACTATCATAGTGCACGTGAATTAGCTCAATGATTGCAGGTTTACCATAATCCTTAACTACCAACATAATAAGTGGGAACTTCTGCCTAAAAACAACCTTACTAGTAGCATACAGTGACAGAAAACTGACCTACATACTCCAAAACAAGCAAAACGTTCAAAAAAACCTTTAAAATTCAATGGAAAACGAATTCACGAAAACATATAACCAGTAGACGCAGGAACCCATCATGACCTTGAAACTGACTATAGCGTCTTTCAAATAAGGAAAAGCGATATAGGCAGATTTTGATTGGCTGTTGGCTAGCTGGCTTCTTATTGGTCTAAAATATAAGTAAAAATGGCAGTCTCTTTATTTTGACACGGAAAGTTACAGTCAGTTTAAAGTCAGTCTTAACTTACCATAATATAACGGCGTGTTAATTTTTTTGGTGTGAGTGTAGTGTGATAGTCACACGCTATTTGGATGCATTTGTAGTATTTAAAGTACATTGAGATATATGGGAATGTCTAGTAAGTGAATATAAGTTAACAATAATTTTGATGCATTTATTTTAAGTCCAAAATAGGATGTATGCATTTTTTGTTACTATGGGAATAGAATTCAATAAAAATTGCTAAACGTATAATGTGTCTAATTTTGGACATGTAGATATATGTATGTATTAAGTGATCTACTTTTTTAAGTTTTCAGTTTAGTGACCTGTGGGAATTGCACATACTAGGTCAACATAAATAAAGTAAATTTCCTATGTCACAAAAGTGGTATATAAGCAATGAAATGCATACAACTGTTCATTTACTTGAAATCATTGTGTTGTGCACGTTAGGAATTGTTAGAACCATTAAATGATGTTGCAAAGTACTCCTACTGCGTCTACTTCACGGAATGTGTCATCTATATTGTGTGATGTAACAGCTACATTCCAAAGGATAATGCTTTGCTGTGTATTTTATACATGGATGCAATTTAAGGAAGCTTTAGATGCATTTATGAAGGTACTAACTAAGTTGTTCATTATTTCTTTGAAAGGAATCCAACACATGGTATCGGGTTGATTCCAGTAAAAAGGATCCATCCGGTCCTATGGAATACATTCTGAACCAAAGAAATCCGGATGCTGCACTGCGGGAAGTAGCAGAGTTCACAAGAAGGTTGGACACTTTGCTAGCAAATGAACCGCAAACAACTTTGAGATTACGACGTGCCCCTGTTAATCGATCATTTTTGTGAAAATATTTGCATTACCTTATTGTTTCCATTTGTATTCACAATATAAACATCTATGTCTAAACTGTGTTACACTTCCTTTCCCTTCAAATGCCTGAGAGCGACAGTTTAAAGCATACTTTGGTTGATTGTTTCCTGATGAGAGCGCTTGGCAAGTCAGTTACAAATTACACCGATCTGTGCCTTATGTAATGCGTTTTATCAGCCGAAGATTTCTAGTTCATAGCATATCGCGAGTAACGGCGACTAATACGATTTATTGCCTATACCGTAATCACCCCAGGCTTACAACAATTCTAAACTTATTCTAACCTATTCTTCGATAATGCTTATTAAGAAGAACAAGGTGATGAATTACAGCCGGTCATGCGGATAAAACAATCCCACAGTTCTGGTTCAATCACATTATCAAACAATGGAAAACCAGTTAGGGAGTTCATTTATTAAATAGTGTTACTATACTATCATAGTGCACGTGAATTAGCTCAATGATTGCAGGTTTACCATAATCCTTAACTACCAACATAATAAGTGGGAACTTCTGCCTAAAAACAACCTTACTAGTAGCATACAGTGACAGAAAACTGACCTACATACTCCAAAACAAGCAAAACGTTCAAAAAAAACCTTTAAATTCAATGGAAAACGAATTCACGAAAACATATAACCAGTAGACGCAGGAACCCATCATGACCTTGAAACTGACTATAGCGTCTTTCAAATAAGGAAAAGCGATATAGGCAGATTTTGATTGGCTGTTGGCTAGCTGGCTTCTTATTGGTCTAAAATATAAGTAAAAATGGCAGTCTCTTTATTTTGACACGGAAAGTTACAGTCAGTTTAAAGTCAGTCTTAACTTACCATAATATAACGGCGTGTTAATTTTTTTGGTGTGAGTGTAGTGTGATAGTCACACGCTATTTGGATGCATTTGTAGTATTTAAAGTACATTGAGATATATGGGAATGTCTAGTAAGTGAATATAAGTTAACAATAATTTTGATGCATTTATTTTAAGTCCAAAATAGGATGTATGCATTTTTTGTTACTATGGGAATAGAATTCAATAAAAATTGCTAAACGTATAATGTGTCTAATTTTGGACATGTAGATATATGTATGTATTAAGTGATCTACTTTTTTAAGTTTTCAGTTTAGTGACCTGTGGGAATTGCACATACTAGGTCAACATAAATAAAGTAAATTTCCTATGTCACAAAAGTGGTATATAAGCAATGAAATGCATACAACTGTTCATTTACTTGAAATCATTGTGTTGTGCACGTTAGGAATTGTTAGAACCATTAAATGATGTTGCAAAGTACTCCTACTGCGTCTACTTCACGGAATGTGTCATCTATATTGTGTGATGTAACAGCTACATTCCAAAGGATAATGCTTTGCTGTGTATTTTATACATGGATGCAATTTAAGGAAGCTTTAGATGCATTTATGAAGGTACTAACTAAGTTGTTCATTATTTCTTTGAAAGGAATCCAACACATGGTATCGGGTTGATTCCAGTAAAAAGGATCCATCCGGTCCTATGGAATACATTCTGAACCAAAGAAATCCGGATGCTGCACTGCGGGAAGTAGCAGAGTTCACAAGAAGGTTGGACACTTTGCTAGCAAATGAACCGCAAACAACTTTGAGATTACGACGTGCCCCTGTTAATCGATCATTTTTGTGAAAATATTTGCATTACCTTATTGTTTCCATTTGTATTCAGAATATAAACATCTATGTCTAAACTGTGTTACACTTCCTTTCCCTTCAAATGCCTGAGAGCGACAGTTTAAAGCATACTTTGGTTGATTGTTTCCTGATGAGAGCGCTTGGCAAGTCAGTTACAAATTACACCGATCTGTGCCTTATGTAATGCGTTTTATCAGCCGAAGATTTCTAGTTCATAGCATATCGCGAGTAACGGCGACTAATACGATTTATTGCCTATACCGTAATCACCCCAGGCTTACAACAATTCTAAACTTATTCTAACCTATTCTTCGATAATGCTTATTAAGAAGAACAAGGTGATGAATTACAGCCGGTCATGCGGATAAAACAATCCCACAGTTCTGGTTCAATCACATTATCAAACAATGGAAAACCAGTTAGGGAGTTCATTTATTAAATAGTGTTACTATACTATCA